GTTTCCATAGTAACCCAAGTAATTTTATTAGGAATTTCAAAGCACCATTTATTTGGGAATAAAATTATCGCGTTTTTTTTTAAATCAATCAATATCTGTCGAATTTTAAACGATTTGCGGAAAAATAGTATGTTTACCTCGTAGGAAAAGCCACATTCCTGGACTCTGTGTTGCTAAGTCTCGGCTTGCGCCTCGACTTAGCAATCTTCACAGTCGTCCAGGAATGTTAAGCTTTTCCTACCCGGTAAACAATGTACCTACTATTGTTAACCCAGTTTTCAAACTAAAATACGTTTTACACCAATATACTAAAAAAAATGAATACTTATATATATTAGGTATATTCGATTTATATCGATTTATATATTATTAATATAATTTTATTTAATTATAATATATATGTGTGAGTGTTTAAATGTTCACTATAAGTAAAAATTCATTTAATCTAATTTGCAAATTCAGAATTGGATTTTCCTAATTATGTAAATAAGTATATTTAAAATATAAGTAACTCCAATGAAAAGAAAACTTTCATTGAAATAACAGTAGGGTAAATCTCTCAAACTGCCTTTTCGATAATTAATTTTTGTAACAAAAAAAATGTCATGAATAAAAGTTATAGTTTGTCATTAAATGTCATAGAAAATTTCTTTGTCTCGTATGTTTTGTACAAAATTATGGAATTTGAAAGTCGTTTTTTGAGAAGTGTTTTTTTGTGATAAGAAGTCTTCACTTTTAAAGTTAAATATAAGTCTCATATCATACTATATTAAGATTCATTTTTAAAATTCACTGCAACAGTGTGAACGATACCATGATATAAGGAAACAAGGTATGCTCACTAGGTGGACTCGTTTTTGCACATTTCTGCGCCGACCAAAATCCACCATCTTTTCAATATGTCACATGCGTGTAGGGATGGTGACCTGATCCCGTACCAGTTACTTTGGAACATGTATTTTATTTATACTTGTGGAACTGATCCCTAACACCAATATATTATAATAAACGAGTACGGGTTTCATTGCATTTGTCCTTAATTTTTATCGTGCATTTCTCAACGTTTACAAAGCTTTAGATAAATATCAACAGATGACAATTGGCGTGAAGTAGACAAAACTATCACCATTTTTTTATGAACTTTTTATACAATCTCTGAATAACAGTAATTTAAGTATTTGAAGTTAAACAGTCATTTAAATAACTATAAAGAAATCTAACAAAATACAAATAATGTTGTCGTTATGTTTAGATATCTATTAAACGAATGATAACAAACTGATTTCCAAACCAGTATTTTTTAACAGGTATATTTGTTTACGCGTATCAGTTTGACCTGATCCACAAAAATACTTGGATCAACCACCTCTACATGCTTGACGTCTGCTTTGTTTTGCATTTTTTAACCTTACTTTGCAATGTATTGGAATTTAAAAGTAAATTTGTTTTGATTTTTTTAAAATTATTTTAGCAAGAGTCTGTTCAGATCATTTTAAATCTGAATTAATTGGATTAATGTAGAATATTAATTTTATTTTATTTAATTTAGCTACGATATTTTTTATCAAATTTGTACATATTTGAATTGCCGCCTTCAAAATGGCGGATTTTGGTCGTAAACGCGATTGGCTGTTCAAAATAGATGCGCGTGAGCATACCATGTTTCCTTATATCATGAACGATACGCTACTCAATTCTAAGATAGGAAATCAATGAGCAATTTATCTCTCTTTATAGTATGACAACGTTGATCTACTATTCCTTTCTACCGGTCCTAGAATACGATGTTGTCATGTATGAGTTTTACAAAGAATATTATCGTACTTTAGATGATTTCTATAATATAAATATTGTATATAAATATAATATTAGACATACATATTGATGTTGTTAAATACATTTTATTAGATACCTTAACAAAAACAAAACGATTAATGATAATTTTGCTGAATGTCAATGTTAAATTATAAATTGCTAAAATATCTATCATCACAAACTAGCAACGATGTTGTCGTATTATCGCATAAACAGTTCGGAGGATTTACTGCCTACAAATTTGATTCTTAAGTATAATAGCTGAGCTATTGGCTTATAATAATTTAATCTAGGCCATTATTACAACACTTATGAAGTTCAATTTGAAAAATATTATTCGGCAATTTATTAAGTTGCAGGTAAATGGACTCTATTAAAATATTACACGATATGTTTTCATAATGTTTCATTAATTATACACGGGGAAACTATAAAAGGTTAAGAAGTTAAGAATGACGTGAGATTACAAATTAAGGGATTAATTTGTATTTGAACAGTTTTATTAGAATCTTTGTAATAAATTACACATAAACAGAATATTAGCACTTTTCTTGTTGTATATTGCAGGAAGATATATTTGTCCAAATGTAATACTTATTTATGTAAATCATTTATGTAGTTTAATTATTACATTTTATAGGTAAAGCGACTAACGTCACTGTATTTGAAGGAACTTAATTTTTGTTGTAAACCCAAATTTAAAAAATAGAAAAAAATAGTACTCAAATAACTACACTAAAAGAATCGTGATGTTCTTTGTTTATAATAAAACGTCTTAATCATGTTAATAAATTTCAGCTAAATCCAGTGGGCCTATAACTTGTCTTTCTATTGTTTCGATAAGTCCCAGAAAGTAAGCATGGTTAGGTAGAATGTACGAAAGCAAATCTAACATGTTCCTGTTCTTTTCCATAGCCACAGGTCTTAGTGCAGGATATAAATTTTCCAGATCAATTTGTCTAAATGAAATTATTCATTCAGAGAGGTTTTGCTAACTTTAGACATAGAGAGGAAAAGGGAAAAGGTCTCGTTAAGAGATATTATAGCATAATTGGTTCTTCCTTCATAAATTGAATCTATTGCATTTTAAACCATTACACCTATTAGTTTGTTACATTTTTTCTCTTTGTAATTGATGCTTCAAGATTCTTCGTAGACTTGGCCTGACGTTTTTATTACAATAAATGTTTCGGATGCACTCTTGTTGCTTATGCCGATGATCTCGCACTGGTTGCGAAGGCGAGTCAGAAAACGGATATGGCTAATGCGGCTAACACAGCCCTGCGTCGTATTAGTAGGTGGATTAAAAAGAACGATCCACAGCTAGCGCCTAAAACTGAGGTGTTATTCCAAGGGACCGGGAAAAATCCTCTCTTCGCTTTATAGTGGAAGGTGTGGAGGTTGCACCGGTTAAATCAATTAAGTATCTGGGAGTCTGGTTGTCGGAAGGACTTAGGTTCGGAGTACACATCCAAAAGACAGTAGAGAATGCGAACCGATATCTGGAGGCGTTGATACTACTGATGCCAAACATTGGAGTTCCAGGTAGCACCAAAAGAAGGGAGTTTTCCAGTCGGTGGTAACCTACGCTGCTCTAGTGTGGTGTAGCATACTAAACACTGTGAAATACGCTATGCTGATGGAGACTTCGCAAAGGCGAATGCTTCTCAGGGTTTCTAACGCATATAAGACAGTTTCAAATGAGGCTCTATATGTCATTGGAACGGTGATACCGATCGTTTTGTTGTATAAAGAGCGAGCGAGGATGTATGCGAGGAGAATGGATGGAGTGGCAGAGAGAATGGGCGAATGATAGTGGAAAGGCAAGGTGGACGAAGGAGCTTATTTCCGATCTGAGACCGTGGTCGTCATGTAAGTTCAGGAAACTAGACTACGTCCTAACGCAGTTTCTGACTGGACATGGTAGTTTTGGCACCTTCACAAATAAAATGGCAAATCTGCCTCGACAGACTATACTGTTTGTGGGTACCGGACGCTCTTGCCACATTTTTACCTGTCAGAGATGAGCAAATGAGAGAAAAGATTTCTAGAGGCAAATGGGTTTCGGGCTGGATGAAAGAAACATTGTAAACATAATGTAGAGAGGAGAAAAAGAATGGAAAGAAGTATAGTTATTTATTAGTTTATGGCGTAACGTCTGAAACATTTTCTGATTTAAGGTAATAGATATGGTTATTTGTAAATTTTTAGTTTTTCATTTTAGTTGTTTATTGAGTGACAAGACCACCTCTCTGGAAGGTGGTTAAGGTTTTAGCCGGAACACGATTAATCCGGCACTATCCTGGGGTCTTCTGGCCTAGTATTCTACTCGGTAGAAAGAAGCTCGGGTGTCTTGTTCCGTGACGTAGATGTTCAAAAAATGTTTGCCCCCACTTTGCCTGTCAGAATTCAATGGATAACTCCTGAGGCTCTTACTGGAATCTGGCAATGCGGCAATTAAAAAAAAAGACTTACATCAAAATGTCAAAAATATGACTTAAACTACTTTGCTTTAACACTCCAATATATTTATATAATAATTTACATTTTTGAGAAATATTATTTGCAAAATATAAACCAATTTTTATTAACATATATATTAATATTACCAATTAAAGTTAAAAATAATTTTTTTTTGGGTGGCGAACTTTAAAAATTGGTTTCTAACATTGGCTCAACAGCGTGTACAGCCTAAATACTTTTACTAAACGTCACTTTGTCAAGAAAGGATAAAAATTACTTTGTGTATAGCAATGCCTATACCTATTCCTTCATGGAAAAAAGTTAAGGGACAAAAAAGAAAAATTGCGTGTATCCAGTTTAGTTTGCTTGGTATTTTGAGTACATGTATTTTTGTCAAAAAAAAAATATATGTTACTTTAAACGGTGACATTTGCATAGTCAGTTTAATTTTAAACTCACCCAAATGCACCCTAGTGCATAGGGACAAATTTACCCCTTTCTCAAAAGTGCACCCTTTTAAATGGTAGCAATCTGCTTCTTTTAAATATTTTGGAGCCAATTGACCATATAAAACACTAAAATCGCTTTAACGTTGTAGTTCTTTTAACCCTATATTTTGAACATATATCAGTAACTTTATTGCATAGTATTTTATTGTATTCAAATATTAGTTTTACAAATATGTGTTCTTATAAAATCAAAATTTAAAATGAATATTTCAGGTAATTACAAAAAATACTAAATTTAACGGCGGAAGTATTGGAGTAAATTGTTTTGGATTCGGAGGAGCAAATACACACATCATTATAGATTCCAATAAAAACGAGAAATCTGTCTTAAAACAAAAACGTCCCAAATACCGTTTAGTTCAGGTTTCAGGAAGAACAGAAGAAGCAGTTTTACATTTTTTAGAAGGCGTTGAAAAGAACCAAGACGATTCAGAATTTTTAGCCATGGTAAACGAGATTCATAAGCTTAATGTAGATGGACACAGTTACAGAGGGTTTGTATCTTCTATTGTATGACTTTATTAATTATCAATTTAATCCTTTTATTGATATATATATATATATATATATATATATATATATATATATATATATATATATATCTTCTTCTTCTTCTTCTTGGCGATCATATTGGCAATAATAACCTTATTCACGGCGGCTCTAAATAAATTAGCGGTGGTTTCTTGATACCCTTCTCGGAGATTTCGTAGTCAGGATGTTCTTCGTCGGCCTGTGCCTCTAGTTCCGCCGATCTTACCCTGTATTATGAGGTGTAGAAGGTTATACCTCTCTGGATGTCTCATTACATGACCGAAATATTGTAACTTCTAATAATTGTAACTAAATAATATATATATATATTGAAATGATTTCAATATGTCAAAGAGGATATAACTTAAAGGGATTTTTATATGAGTTTGTTGTTCATGAATTTCATGAAGCCATCACAATGTGGGGTCGACTCTGAAATAAAAGGGAGAAAAGATTAGTAAATTGCTAAATAAATTAATTTTGACTTACCTGGTATAGTGTTAATAATTTCTGAATAGTATAGTTGCCTAGTGTATAGGTGAATCGTCTAAACCTTAAAAGGAATAAAAAAGAAGAATTCTTAAAAAATTATTTAAACATAGAAATTTCAAAAATAAACGTCAGAAAAATAAACTGTCAAAAGTCTGTGGGAACTAAATTAATAGGGGTTTTGTTAAATAAATTACAATGATGTGGAGATGAAAAGAATAAATTATATTAGTATTGTTAAGTTTTATATCTGAATTTTTTTTTATAAATTCCCAAATTAGATGTGATTAAAGTGCTTATGAGAAATTAATGTGGTTTGACAAATATGTCAAAACAGGACAGTTTTATGGTTGAATAAAATAGAAGACGGAATGAAAAAAGAAAGGGGGTTGCTGTTAGCAACGAATAATTTTGGTGGTTGGTGCTAGCTATGGCGGTTAACAAGGAAGAATAGGTTGTTGGAGGCGACGAAAATTTTGGAGGAAGAGCCCTAAAAAGGTGGAATAGTCCGGGAGTGCTTTAAAATCGTTTAATTATAATTTAGTTTTTCCACATTTTCAAATAGAGATATCCAGAATTTGTTCCAGAGAGTAAGAGAAATTTTGACTTATAAATTATAATTGGAGTGCAGAAATGTCATTTAGATTGAAAAAGTAAAAATTCATGAATTAACTAATTGCGATAGGCCTTAAAAATTGAAATATTAATGATCATTAAAATAAAAATATAATAGTACGTACCTTTAACTTCCGAAGAGAGGATAGATATTCCAGTATCACCGATTATTTTGCGAGTAGTTAGTTTTCTTTAAAAAAAAAAAATCAGAACTGTTTGAAAGTGAGTTTGGATAATAATTTTGGGGATCATTTGAAATTTTGATTATATTTTAATGCTAGTTATAAGTCAGCGGCATAAAGTGTTCAGTTTTCTTTTCTTTATATTTCATTTAAACACTTTATAAAGTTGCAATAGTCATTTAGATTTAAGGTAATTGTAGAGAGTTTCCACATTTTGTAATCAAATTCTATTTTCACGACACATTAAGGTTTACACGATTCCTATTTTTGTAAATTTTTAAAGGCAACCCAAGTTGCAGACGAATTTTATTGTTTATATTAAATTTGTTCAATATTAATAAATAACGTGCTTCATTTGGGTTAATTTATCAAAAATATAAAGTAAATTTTGGTTTAATTTCTTTTTGAACTCTACCAGGAGACTACAGAGTTGACGTCACACAGTGACAGATTGCTTAGAACAAATAATTGAGCTAGCCGAGGTATAGTATATTAACAACGAACTACATACTTTTAAAATTCACTTCAATTCAATTAAAATTATATTTATTAACAATAAAACATAAAAATAATAAAAACAAAACTATTACAATTGGCGCTCCAACGTGGGGCCTCTGGGAAAACAGAAATAAGGGTGTTTTTTTTAAGCAGATTTATTAATAATACACAGATTAAAATAAAAACAAATTGGTGTGATTAGAGTTGTAGAGATTCTGGGGTAGTTAAAGTTAAATTTGAGAATAAATAGAGATTAGGATAAAATGGCAGACCGAATGACTTTAAGAAATGGAAAAGAAATCGTACCGAAAGAGAGTGAAGGAGAACAGGTGTTAGAACAGGAACAGGGTATACAGGTAGATGAAGAAAGCAGAGGAGGATCAGGAGAATTTGTAGTACAATATTTAGAGCAAGGCAGACAAGAAGCAGGACAAGGTGATAGAGAGGGAAGTCTAACAGATAGTTTGAGAGAGGAGTTGGATGAGACAGTGAGAGATAGACGTGATGAAAGTGTGGATGAATGTAGAGTGCAGGAGGAGAGACGTAGGGAAGGAGATGTTGGAGAGTCAGGGATGACACAGATGGATATGAGGCAAATAATGCGGATGTTACAACAGATGGATCATAATATTAGGGGAGATATGCACAAAATGGATAGTAATATTAACAATATTAGGGGGGATATGAACAAAATGGAAAATAATATTAAAGGAGAACTTAGGGAAGAGTTAATTAAAATGAGGGAAGAAATCAAAGAAGAAGTGAAGATAGTCAGGGAAGAGATGCTACAAATTACCCAAGGTTTAGAAGAGAAAGTAGAACAGGTCAGAGGAGAAAGTGAGAATTTTAAGAGGAATGTACAGGAGGAGATATCCAGAGAAAAGGCCATAATTAGAGCGGAAATAGGACAGGAAATTGGGAGCAGATTTGTAGAGTTGGGAACAGCCATTAAAGAGAATTTACCAATGGAAATAAACAAAGAAGTTAATAAGCAGAATAAAGAGATTGTTAGGGAGGTAGAAAGTGTTAAAAGGCAAACTCAGGATTATGAGGAAAAAATTACCATTATAAAAAATAATATAAAGAAGGGATTGCAGAATTTGGAACTGGAAATGGGTATGCATGCAAATCAGGCGGAAAAGGGAGATAGAGTATTACAGGGACAAGTTGAGGAATTGAGAGAGAAATTTAAAAATGCAAGTGAGGAGATTCAGCGTTTGGAATCAAATCTAGGACAAACAAGAGTAGTGAGTACTGTGGTGCCGAGTTATAATGATGGGGGAATAAAGTTTGATGGAAACCTGAATCACTTACATCCTAGAATATTTGTAGATATCATCAAAAATAAGGTAAAGAATGTAAGGGATCCAATAGAAATGAAATTGAATATTCGAAACATGTTAGTGGGCATGCCATTATTATGGTTTTGCAATAATGAAAATTCCATAAATAATGTGCAGGAATTTGAGGCCAAGTTTATTAACTATTTTTGGGGAGAAAACCAACAGGCTAGTTTCAGGGAGCGGTTGTATTTTGGGAAATTCAATTATGAAAAAAGTACCAACTACAATCTGTACGCAATGCAGTTATTCCAGACAGCACAATATTTAGAACCGGCTATGCGAGAAGAGGAGATTGTCCTATACATTGCCAGGCAATATAACCATAACATGGCAGAAACAATAGCTCTCCACAATATAAAGACGATGGAAAGTTTGACAGGATATCTTCAGAGGATTGAGAGGAGTGTAGGGACGCAGAATCGAAATGGACAAGAGCAAGTGACATATAGGAATAACACAGCAAATAGACAGGGATATGTGAATCGAGGGAATAATTATAGGGAAAGAGAATTTGAGAGACAAAATAGAAGCAGGGATTTTACAAATAGGGGAGAGAATTTGAACAATGTCAGGAGAGATATCGGACGATATAACTGGGAACGTAGACAAGGGAATCCAAACAATGATAGAGAGAATAACTGGAGACAAGGGAATGACAGAGGCAATAATTGGAGACAGAACCAGGGAAATTATCCACAGGAGACGAGAAATAGGGAAGTTTACAGAGAAGGGAATCCAAGATATAATAGGGGGGAAAATGAGGAGAGAAGACAGGTGAATGTAGTTAGAACAGAGGAGAATAGGGGGGAAGCAAGTGTTGATGTAGAAGGGAGAAATTTTGTTTAGACCGCTCCTATGTGCATAATATTGTCTACTTATCAAAGTATGAACATCCAAGGGAGTTTATTAGAGATACTGGGGAATTAAATAAAAATAATAACACTAATACTTTAAAGTTTATTGAAGGGTACATACAAGATTCAGTATACAAGTTATTATTAGATACAGGTTCAGAAGTAACTCTAATCAACAAAAACATTGTAAATAATTTAAATAAGGACAAATGTAAAAACCGTAAAATACTATCTAGAAAAATACATAGAGGAAGTAGGTACTCCAGAAACAATTATCTTAGATCATGCCACATATTTTGAAAGTCCAAGATTAAAAAGAGTTTGTGAAGAAAAAAAAATCCAATTAAATTTCATTAGTATCAGAAGACCCGCATCTAATCCTGCAGAAAGATATGTCAAAGAGGTGGTAAAATTCTTAAGAATTTTGTGTGCTAGACAACATTATTTATGGCAGGAAAATTTGCCACAAGTTGAAAGATTTTTAAATGAGACACCACATGGAATCACCAAACAATGCCCATATTTCCTAATGTCTGGAAAGTATCCAGAAAGACCTTGGGAAATCAGTAATACAGGGGACATTCAAGAAGTAATGAAGAAGGTGAACCAAAATTTAATAAGAAATGCAAGTCGTTATGTAAATAGAATCAATAAGAAGAGAAAGAAAAGAGTTATTTTTGAAAAAGGGGAGAAGGTACTTATCAGGTCACTACAGGTGCCTAAAAGGAATGAAAATCTGTGTGGAAAATTACTTTTGCCATTTGAAGGACCTTATGTCATTAGTACTGAACATGGGGTAAACAGTTATGAACTAAGACATCCAGAAACTAATAAAATTAGAGGGATATTTAATATAGAGGGAATTTATAAGTATTATGAATAAACATACAAGGGTAGGCAATATTATGACACGAATTTTATATTATTAGATATAAGTTTTGTAAATAGAAGGATAATTAATACATAAGCATATCTTGAGATA